TGTTGTGTACCACCACCTTCTACAATGGAAGACTAGAAGACAATTATTTTAATGCTAGTATAACTCAGCATACCAAATTCAATATTTTGGACTATAAACAACCAGGCATCTTCAGTTAATCAAATCAGACTTAATAGGTATATGATGGTTAATGATATATACAACTTAATAGGTTAATGATATATACAAGTCTAATCAGCTTCTTTGCCCCCCCCCCCATTTTCTATGAGCAGGAAAACAACTTTAGAAGACTGGTATCACTGAACCAGGAACTACATATAGTCTTCCAAACAAGTAAAGCTTCAAAAGCCAACTTTAAACCATGGCTTTCTTATCCTGGTTTGCTTAGAAGCCACTAGCCATAATTTCCTTGTTCAGGCATAATGGACAACTACTGTTTATAACTTCTTACTTGTGTTTAGGGTCTATGTACAGATGTACAAAGCTCATGTATATCCCATCTTCTTAAACTGGACCTGATTATCCAAATCAGGCCAAAGGCATGAAGAAAATTGCATGTAATTGTTCTAAAAAAAATTCTAATTCTCAAGTAACAAACTTCTTCTCTATACTAGTTACAAGAAGATCACTCTACAAACCTCTTCATCGATTTTGGTCTCTTCTGCATCTATATGTTGTTCCTTTAAAAACCGCTGTGTTTTTTCTAGCTGGAATTTCACCAGTTCTTCAATAGCATCTTTCTCTTCCTTGTCCACAAACTCTTGCACTGCTTCTCCCATTCCTCTTTCAGTCAGGAGAGAAAGCTGCACTTTCTTAGAGAAACAAATGAAGGAATGCCCTATTAAATATCCTCATATGAATTTTTAAAAGGTGGCCTGGCTAGTAGCAGTATTTGGCAAAAAATAAAATAACATTCACTTTGAACATAAGCAGAAGGATACCTAAAACTTTCAGCTCTGGGGGATTTTGATCTTCTAAGGCAGTGGTTCCCAACTTAGGTAACCCAGGTGTTCTTGGATGGCAATTTGCAGAAACTTTAACAACTAGTTGTGCTGGATGGGGTTTCTGGGACTTGCAATCTAAGAATACCTGGGTTACCCAAAGATTGGGAACCACTCTTCTATACAAAAAAAAATGCTAACACAACAACAATCTCTATTGCTTGAAATATGACAATGCATAGTTTGTAGTAATTGTAGTTTAGACTCCTAACCATTAATGTGTTCCTTAAAGGTAAAGGTTCGCCTTTACATTTAGTCCAGTCATGTCCAACTCATCCCTGTTGGCAATCCGTAGAGCCAGTGTTTGTCCATAGACAGTTTCTGTGGTCACATGGCCAGCGTGACTAGACACGGAACACTGTTACCTTCCCACTGAGGTGGTACCTATTTATCTACTTGCATTTGCATGCTTTCGGACTGCTAGGTTGGCAGGAGCCGGGACAAGTGACGGGAGCTCACTCCATCACGTGGATTCGATCTTATGACGGCTGGTCTTCTGACCTTGCAGCACAGAGGCTTCTGCAGTTTAACCCGCAGCGCCACCATATCCCTCAAGAATATGTTCCTTAGGAACTGCCAAATCATGTCTTGTGCCCTTTTCACTTCCAACAGCTTCTCCAAAGAAACTCAGATGCACTCCAAAATGATCTTTGTACCACCTCACATGGGTGCTTCAGGAGTGGAAGGATCAGACTACAGGTGCTGTAAAGACCTAAGGGATGCCCAAATGTGTAAACATTCTTCAGAGAGGCTCCTTCCATGTCCCTCATATTGAAGATATTAACATAAAAACTAGGTTTACCTTCTCTGCTGTCTGGAAATACTGCTTCACAAGATCCTCTACCCTCAGTGTTGCTCCTTCTGAAGCAGGCTTGCGAACCAGCTTCCCAAAATTAATTTCGTCATCTTAAAATAAGAAGACAGCAAAGATGGTTCTCAAATGACTTTTACATAGGCAAGATGTTATCTACAGAGTGAAAAGAATTCAGATGACTGTTTATGTTGTTTATGCAAACATCTAATTCTCTGCCTCTACAATTCTACTGTTGAAATATCACCTTTTCTACTAGGTGAGCATCAAGACCAGAGAGAATGGGGGAGTTGGGTTGCACAGCAAGCAGCAAAGGAAAACTAAGTAGCATTGTATTTACCAACATTCCTGGACCACTTTTCCAGAGCTTTTACAGTCCGATGTAGCCTCCTGAGCAGGCCTAGATAAATGTTTAAACCATGATCCTAGTTTACTTGCCTCAGAAAACAAAGACCAGGATTCAGAGGGGGTTGATTCTGCCTATTTATGACAATGGAACTAGAATAGAGGAATCCCAGAATTTAAAGTATGCTCCTAAACTGCTTCAGATTTCTCTGCTAAGTGCCAAAACAGTTTAGAAACATTTTCTACCATTTCCTTCTATCGTCTGCTCTCAAGATCCCATTTGAAGTGCTTACATGCAAAACAACTAATATGCAATCTATGAAGACTGCAGCAATTACCAGCATCTCTGAAATTAATTCTTTAGGGAAATGAGTCTCTAAAGGGAAGTGTATACAATGTTCCAATGATATTTCCTACTCATATTTTAAAATATCTGTGGGTATTTCTGCTTTCCCTACCAACAATTCCTGTTATTTTTAACAAAATACTGAAGAATTAACATAGGAAAATATTGGGTTCACTGTTTTTCTTTTTACCATTTTTCTCTTTTTGTTCCCGATGTCTGAAAAAATGTATGATATCTTTTGGATTAGCTATCCTATCCATGAACTTTTGGCTGAAACGAACAACGCTGAATGGTTCAAAGCCTCCGCTGTAATCTACCTTCAAAGAAAATATGAAAATAAGAGGTGTAGGATCTGCAACCATACATCTGAAAAAAGTTAAAATCTGCTAGTGTTATTTAATACACTTGTGAATATACCTTGGGGTCAACATTGTATTAAATGAGAAAAGATACCCATTAATTCTTCTCAGCATCAGGTTCCTGTGTTTAGCACACCATAATAATCTTATTTTCTCCTTTTTAAACAACTAAGTTGCTTTTGCATAAGACCTTCAGCCCAAGCCCTATCCTTGCAAACCAAAGAAAATGTTCATACAGAGAAGCCTGTATGCCAAATGGGAAGCATTTTGCAAAATACCTTACACCAGACCTTTAAACACTTACTATATTTAACTATGTGTTTGCTGTAGAGAAAAATGAATATTTAGTATAGGGCTTTAGATTTAAAGAGGCTGCATCTTACTCGTAACCTTATTAGAGGCTTCTCTGGTTGCCGGGTATTTCCAAGTCGCTCTCTTTCAGCGTTTTCCAGCATAGCTTCAACCTTTAAAAAAAAACACACAATGGTCTTGATGAAAAAACTGTTATACCCAAATACCATTTTTAAAAAAATTAAACGTGGCAATTTCCAAAGAAGTAGTCATGTTAATATGCATTTGCATTTCATTAAAAAATTAAGTGGAGGGGGGAGAATAAATGTGGCACATGTTGATCACGTGCCATTTATGACAGCTTCCTTCTGAATTATATTGAAAGGATTTTTTTGCAGGCAGAAGTGCCAGACACCGTTAAAAATTATATTCCAATTGTACAAAGCAAAACCAGCTTCTAACATGTCTTTTGAAACCCACCCAAAACATTAGGACTGGTTATGCAGGTTACTCTATTTTTTTTTAAAGACTACCTTCTCCATGCAGAAAGCTTGTACAGCTTGTGTTACTTTTGGATTGTCAGGACTGAAGACACCTGGATGGTCAGCAAGCACAATGTCCTCAATATAGAAAGGCCGCACTGTCTGAAGAGGGATCTTCTGCATATTCATTTTTTTACCTTTGACACGAAGCAAGCCAACATGCCTGGAATTAAGGAAATCTTTGTAAGGCCTGGGAACATGGTAAAGTTTCAGAAAGTAACCCACAGCCTTTGGTCACTGTTAGTGCCATAGAACCCAACAAAAAAAACTATTACAGAAACATTTTGAGTCTGGATAGGCACATAAGAAAATCAAGGCTTAAGTCGAGGAATTCAAATCTGTAACCTTCGCAATGTGACTCTTATGCAAATGTGAATGGAGAGGAACAATGTATTCATTTTCTTGCGCACAGAAGCACAACACTGAAGCTAAAGAAACCACCTGCAAAGTTCAATGGAAATAACTTCACTCAGATATAATCCCAACCCTCCTGAACCTTCTTTCATCTTCCCAGTCATTTTTCACCAACATCACACAGTCACACTCTTCTTCGACTAGCGCAAGCAAAACGTCTACTACACGCTTTCAGAGAATAGGCTGTACAATGCAACGCGCAAAAGCTAAGAACATACTTTTTGGCAGCTTCGCCTGGCGACAAAGAGGTGACCACTGAACTTCCGGGTTGTGAAACATAGAAAAGCTGTTGCTCATTCCTTGTTGGAGATATTTTACATTCATGTTCATGACCCCAAATCACAAGATCAATAAAATCATCTAGAAACTGCTCTGGAATGTAATTCGTGGCTCCGTGTTTACTCCTATAGCAAAGCAAATGAAAACAATTTAAAAAATAAGAGACTTCATGTACTGAAATCAAACTAGAACATGCCACTTTCTTGTTTGTTTAAAGCATGCATACCTACTTTAATTTTAGCAGCCTTACAAAAGACAAAGTAGGAACAATTTCCATAATGGAAGAAAAAGCAAATGAAAAGATCAGGCTTCCATGTCTACAGCTAGAGACCCAGGTGTGTTTCAAACCAGGTGCAGGTTACGCAGAAGATGGCAACACTGTTTGCTGTTGTACTGTTATGATTTAATTCGGAAGAAAAAGCAAATGAAAAGGTCAGGCTTCCATGTCTACAACTAGAGACCCAGATGTGTTTCAAACCAGGTGCAGGTTACACAGATGGCAAAAGTGTTTGCTGTTGTACTGTTATGATTTAATTCTGGTATGTTTTGTTGTTGTTTAGTCATTAAGTCATGTCCGACTCTTCGTGACCCCATGGACCAGAGCAGAACAGGCCCTCCTGTCTTCCTCTGTCTCCCGGAGTTGTGTCAAATTCATGTTGGTAGCTTCGATGACACTGTCCAACCATCTCGTCCTCTGTGGTCCCCTTCTCCTCTTGCCCTCAGACTTTCCCAACATCAGGATCTTTTCCAATGAGTCTTCTCTTCTCATGAGATAGCCAAAGATTTGGAGCATTAGCTTCAGGATCTGTCCTTCCAGTGAGCACTCAGGGTTGATTTCCTTTAGAATGAATATATTTGTTTTCCTTACAATCCAGGGGACTCTCAAGAGTCTCCTCCAGCACCACAATTCAAAAGCATCAATTATTCGGCAGTCAGCCTTCTTTATAGTCCAGCTCTCACTTCCATACATCGCTACTGGTCTGTTACTAAGGAGTAATGAACTTCATCAAATATGTAACATGACATTTCATCAGGCCTTGATCAAAGTTACTGACAGGCAACAGCTGAGGTCCAGTTCAGACACCAGAACAACTAAGTCCAAAGAATCAGAGATGGATGGCATGGCAGAGTACTGGTGGGAAGAAGTTGCTGGTTCCAGATGAGGTAAAGAAGTACGAAGAGAAAAGAGATGAAGTCATAGATGATCTGGTGGTCAGATACTGAAGCACAGAGACAAAGGAAGAATGTGGGGCAATGCTGTGGATCAGCGCAATGTGTCGCTCAGACTCAGTAACTAAGCACAGAGAAAGTGAAACAGAAACAATCAGAGCCTCACTGGTTCCTCAGGTCAGCTAGACCTCAGGTTAGCTGTAGCATATTCATTGGTCTTTATAAAGGTAGTCCTACACCAAAGAAAAAGATCAACTTGGTGTAAAAGCTGCCTCAGTAACACAGAAAGTAAGGCACGTAGGTTCAGTTGCCTCCCTAATTGAAGTCCCCCTCTTCTGCACAATGAAATTGAAATTCAAACATTTCTAAAAATGCAGGAAGGGCTAAAAATATGGCCTAGGTGAAAATATTACAGTTTATATTGTGAACCCTGAACTCTCCCCTGCATGCTGTTTCTGAAGCCAAGGCATATGAAAAACATTTTGAATTTTAAGAAAAGGCATGTGGCTTCGCACATGAAAAACAATCCCTCCTCTCCCATTAGATACGAGAAAGCCCAAGGACTTACCCTTGGGTCACTATTTGGATGGCACTCAAACAAAGGTCTATCATTTATCAAATGGTGGAGAACGACTGCCTCATGACTTAAGGAGTCCAGCAATTTGGGTCACGAGGTTTAATTCCCCTGTTCAGAAACAAAACCAGCTAGCACAAAGTTGCTATGCTCCTCCAAGAGCACTGAAACTCATATCAGTTCGGCAGACATTCATCTCCCTCCTTTGGATTGGTCACATTAGGCTGGATTGTATCCAACACTGTGCCAGCACCAGATTTATACAAGGCAGCCCTGTTTTCCAAATGCTTGCACAAGCAGGACCAATACAACTAACAAAACAGAATCCTAATGAACTGTGTAAAATTTTGGTCATTACACAAGAGGAATTAAATTACTGCTGGTCAGATACATGCAAGGGTAAACACTGTGATTCCACAAGACAACTGCCTTATGCTAGGGGAAATGCATTACTGGATGCAAACTTTTGCACCCATTTTCCTGTCAAAACACAAGATAGCTTTCCTAGTTAACCTTAAAGGCGGCAAAGGGAACAAACACACTCTCTTAGTGTACCACTGTAGTACCTGTTCTGGTGAATTACAAATAAGTTAAACCAACTATCTCCATCTTCCTTTGGCCTCAGTAGAGTCACTTGTTTATTCACAAACATTCGGTACAGTCTCTCATCTGGGATGGATCCTGAAACAGACATAATTGTAGAATTGCCATGTGAATGGGTTTTAGGGGTCAAACATGCTGAATCCTACACAGCTTACACAGTGCACTAACTAGCGTTTAAATAAAGCCTAAAGCTATCATCAGACTTTAAATAAGCCTTTGTAACCTGCCACTGGCATATCTACCTGGAAGAAATGTAGTTGTCGAGTAGCCCAGTGTAAAAAACTGCACCTTCTCATAGCGCAGTAATAAGAATCACCACATGGTGGCATTAAATTCTCACCTCAGCCCCGAACGCATAGTTATGTGTCCATTACCAAACCTGTACCTTTAACATGGAAAGTGCTTACAATCTCTGTCCTCACAGCCATGCTGTGAGCTAATTATGATTTCCACTTTATAAAAAACCATGGATGTAAATATTTGCTACTTATTCAGTGAAATCCACAAATTAATATTTGATTATTGACTGAGGCTGGTCACGTCTTTTTACTCACAACCAGTAGGACAATCATACATTTTAAAAAATAATATTCACTGTCTTCATTTAATGGAATTTTAGACCATGTTTCACTGTGCATCCTAGCCTTTCTCAGCCAGATGCCCTCCACATGTGATGGACTACAACTCCCACAATGAGATAGTAGAAGGGTTTATATCTTCTATTTTCGGAAAAAAACAGTCCTCTTCTACCTGCAAGATGCTTTGCTTAAAATCTACCAGAAAGTATACTCTACTGTACCTAATCCATAGAGAGCAATTTTCGAATTGCCTTTCTGAAGCAAAACAGGACTGACATCTATCTTCTCAACAGATGGTGATCGTCCAAAGTGATTCACAAGCCCTGCACAACTCAGAATGTCCAAAGCACAAAGAGCATCCACCTGTTACATACATGGAAAAATGACAATCTATGTTTATTTATCAAGGCTTTGTTTAGCCTCCTTTTAGCTTCATTCATTTCCAGAAGATGCAAAGCATTAATGAAAAAGACTGTGCACGTTTTCCAGGCAAGCCAATACTTGCAAGTAAATAGTCACTAGCCTGGTTGCCTGCATAGCATAAAAACAGGCTGCAGACAATTAGAAAGGAACATCTTTGTCAAGTTTCCCCCCTTCCTCTAAGTGAACAATATGTCACAAATGGAGTAAAAACAATTATGCTAAATACTTCGCACTTTAAATTACATGCCAAGGTGTTTATAAATCACATTAATACCTACAATTAATGAAGAAGCTCATTTCTGATTTCATAAGTAGCACATGTGAGCTTTTGGGATAATAAATCACTGAAGAACCTGAATGCAGTTGTTTCAGATTAATACAGAAAGATGGCAAAACCTTGCCACCTATCTAGATACCTAGGCTGCAAACACAAGCTGACTCTTACTTCAGAATATATATATATATTTTCTGGATTCTACCTTTGTCATTGTTGGCTCGTCTGAAGATACCCAACAATTAACATAATCTATATTTGCTCTTTCTGCTTTAATGTCCTTACCCCTGTTGGATCATCATGGTTGCCATGAATACTAAAAACTGGAATAGAAATGTTGAGATTTCCATCTTGGTAGTTCACCCACGGAAACCTGAACAGGACAGTAAAATTTAACAATGGAATGAAAATGATTTAGGAACAGAAATATCACTGCTTACCACAATATGTAGTATTTTCTACATTAAACTGAATGCTATAAACAAGACTATAACATTGTTCCTGTTACACTTAAGAACAGTATATGTTGAATTCACAGTTTCTCTAAATGGACAGAGGCTCACACTAGATGGAGAGCAGCAGCTTCCACCAAGTCCTCCTCCTCCCAACAGCCTCAAAAAGTTCTATCACAGGATTAGAGGATGTACTCCAGAGCAACATGGCAAGTAAGGTGGGGGATCTGCTACAGGAAGGAGGAACTGGCAAAAATCGTCTCCCACCTTTCTTCCACAAGAAGCCTCAGCAAAAAATTATCTTCCTCAGATACTAATGATCTTGAGATAGCAGGGCTGTCAAGAGACAACACTGAGAGATCTCTAGGCCCCAAGCCAGCAGAGTTACTTCGAATGGCCAGGGATTTCGCAGGGCTGAATTACCGCATCTTGACTTAATATACAACTATTTTAGGCACACTCTTCCCCCAATTAGGCCAGAGTCTAAAATTACCTAACTGCAAATAGATTTGGAAGCTTTACAAGAATCGAGTTTAGTAATCAAGACACTTACTTGCTAAAACCAAAGTTAACGGATTGGTCACTCAGAATTTCAAACTGCACAGGTCGGTCACCCATACAGTATTTCCTTAATAGTTCTAAACAGGTGTGTAAAGTTCTCCTGGAGGGTTTGTTTTCATGAAACAGATCACCTCCTAATAAAATAAAATCCACCTGTAGAAATAAAAGGAAACCTCCTTAAAATGTTTTTTTTCCACATGCAATGTTAAACATACAAATTGATCAGAAAACAGATAGATTACACAAAAACAGTTTAAAGACTTGATTCTCAGCAGTAGATAGCCTTCAGAAGGTTGGAAAGTACAAGGACCATATCTGCACAGGTGGGCCCCCTCCCTTGTCTATTCCTACAGGCAGAAGTGACTAAATTAAACATGGACCTTCCATGTGTGGTTTGTGTTCATCATTGTACATGAACCTGGAACTCTGGTTTGCCTTTCACAGAAACACAGAAAACCTGCCACATATTGAGTCAGACCACTGCTCCATCCAGCCTGGCACTGCCCGTTCTTCAGGGTTTTAGGCAAGGATCTTCCTTAGCCCCACTTGGAGATTCCTGGTATTCCTTTGTGGTCTCCCATCCTAGCACTAACCAGGCCCGAGCCTAGTTACCTTCCACGTTCAGATAGGATTTACTATTTTTAGAATGATATGGCGGAACACCACATCCAGCAAGCCAGAAGTTCCAACTCACATGATGGTGCATGCTCTTGTATTTTGCATCATGGTCCAGGGATAGGTATATGTGGCCCCCAGAACTCTGGAAATTATCCATCCTATTATTCCACAGTAACTTTTTAAAGAAAATGTATACATCATTCTAAGGCAGTCATAGAAAATCCACATTTAAAAAAGTGAACAAACTGTCCCAATAACATCAACACTTTTATTTAGCAACTTATGAACTTTCCCTACAGTAGTGTACTTTTCGACTCTAGTCCTCACTTATAACAGAAGCAGCTCAAAACAGCTCTGCCTACATAAACATACTTTTCCATTCCTTTCTGGTAAACAAATGGGCACCAATGGAATTTTCGGGGGGGGGGCACACACAGACACTGGCTTGTTGCACGTATGCGACCCAAAAATGATAGCAGTAATGGTTTGTTTAGTAAGAACGGACAGAAAGTTATGCCTGAGCATATGCTACAAACAAGACTGCAGCCACAAAACCTTAGGAAACACATAGGCTTTCAATGCTAACTTGTTTACTGATATAAAATAAATTCTCAGAAAGTTATGCCTGAGCATATGCAACAAACAAGACTGCAGCCACTAAACCTTAGGAAACACATAGGCTTTCAATACTAACTTGTTTACTGATATAAAATAAATTCACCTCATGATCTTGAGCAAGTTTCAAAATTTCATCAAAGGTTACAAATGTATCATTTCCACGGACAGCATCCTTCTCCAAATATCCAAGATGAATGTCAGTAGCAACTAAGATTTTAAATGTGTCTTTTTCTTCATCCTCCCTAAACTCAACATTGGAGAGGAAAAAAGAGATGTTACTATGTCACCTATTATTTCAGGGTGGGCTACAACAATGAGGTATTCTGCACAGTCACAGGTTACATTTCTTGACCATTATAAATATATCAGTTTACTACTACTACTGCTACTACTACTTATTCAACTTGTATGCCGCCTGCACCCTGCAAGGGTATCACCTGTTATTTCAGGATGGGCTACAACAATGAGGTATTCTGCATAATCACAGGTTACATTTCTTGACCATTACAAATATATAAGCTTACTACTACTACTACTTATTCAACTTGTATGCCACCTGCACCCTGCAAGGGTCTCCGGGTGGCTTCCAACATCCATTAAAACAATTCAGTTGAAACAAACACACTAAAAACCATTACGGTTATATCTATACTCTACAAAAGCAAAAATAAAAACAAAAAATCTACAAAAACAATCTAGATCCATGAATTATTAATTAAAATTAAAACCTTCAATTAAAACCTTCAATTAAAAAACATCCGGAACAGGAAGTTTTTAACCTGGCGCCAAAATGTCAGTCACGTCGGCGCCCGTCGGATGTCATTTGGGAGGGTATTCCAAAGACCGCGAACAGCTGCCGAAAAGGCACTCCGCCTACAGGCCATCCCTCTGACCTCCCTGAGGGATGACTCTTTCAGGAGCCCCCCCCCCAGCTAGATCTCAGTAGCCAGGTAGATTCGTAACATCCCTCTGATCTCCCTGAGGGATGACTCTTTCAGGAGGGAGCCCCCCCCCCGGCTAGATCTCAGTAGCCAGGTAGATTCGTATGGAAGTTATCTCTTTTCAAAAGAGTATGAAACTCTAAGCAATGGAACAGGGACTGACTATGACTTTCCACAGAAGTACTGTACAAGAATGTCCCCACAATTCACTGTATGTCAGGTTTGACAAGTGGCAGAGCAGTAGTTTATAAACAAGCATGTAGAGTTTAACTATATTTTAGCAGAGGCGAAAAATAGTTATTATGTACACCTAGCAATTCAGAATATTTCTGAATGTTCTCTATCATGTATCCCTACCATTTTCCAAGGTAAAGGTTCCCCTTGACATTTAGTCCAGTCGTGTCCGACTCTAGGGTGCTTTTCCAAGAAAAGCGCCTTACGAAAGAAACCGAGTAGCACCCAGGCACAATATACGCATGAGAGAGATTACAATATGACTAGAAAGGAGGATTCAAATATTTTGGAGCCATTATGGAAGATATACAAAGAGGAGGCTGCTTTAGAACAATCAAATATAACTGGATACACAGATTTGCTCATCCCCAGCAGACTAATTTGAAGAAAGCAGTGAATTATGCAGATAGTGCAACAGTATTCTACAGTTCATGTTCTCCAGCAAGCAGTACACAGATATATGCTGTCTTTGATTTTAGTGGGAATACACATGCTTGACAACTGGTTGCTACTGATAGCCTTATCTCGTGCAAGCAGAGGTTGCCAAAATATAAAGCAGCAACAAATGGGAGAATTCTGAAAAAATGAAACAGATGACTTTCCATAGATGAAATAGCATGAGGTAGTGAATGAACTCACATGGAAGCGGTAGGAGTCATTTCTTCAATCACATTAGCTCCCAAATCCACAGAGTGGCTCAGAAAGAGAGCTCTGCAGTATCATCCAGGGTTCAGACACTAATGAGTCACTTTAGATTCAAAAATCTAACAACAGTAGTGCAGGAAAAGAAAAAATATATACCGTATATTATGACAATCTTTTGATCTTTTAAAAACACAGAATGTTTTTTCATTCAAACTCTCAGTAATGGTAAAAAACAACAACAATACGGCTACCTAAGGCAAAAATCCCGACTGTGGTCTCATCTTTTACAATTACCACACATTTTTTCCAGCAAGAACAAAGATACATATTTCCTCTCAGAAAATCAGAACATAAAGATCAGGGAAGCAATGGGTGACAGCCTCAAGGTGATACTTGTAGTCCTTGCTTACGTCCAACAGACAGGTGAAAATTCAGACTTCTTTCTCCGCTGCCCCATCCCAACTTTTCCACAGAGAATGCAAATTCTCCTACTCCTCTCTGGGATTCCACAGCAGCCTGTAGCACTATTGTCCACCTTGTACTAAAGGCAGCTTCACAGCCACCTTCATCACCTCTTCTGCTCAGCGAAGGGAGTGGTGACCAAATAATCTGAACAGTACCACAAAAGCAGTGAGCCTCCTTTACAGCGTAATCTGTTGAGATGCTGGAATTAAGATTATAGGTGAAAACGAAACAATAATACAAAATGAAAAAGACAACAACATGACAGAACCTTAAAACCTAACTTTTATTTACTTATTTATTTATTTTGATGTGACCTTTCGTGGACAAGTCCACCTCATCAGGTACAAGAGAAATGGACTTACATCTAGTGAAGTGGACTTGTCCACAAAAGGTCATACCAAAAAATACAAGTTATTCTTTCAGATGCCAGCAGGACTGCACACCTCCCTATGTGAACCTCCATAGGATTATGCTTTATATAGGAGGTTCACCACTTGGCTGAATTACACCCACAGAATGGCAAAGACAAACCTGGGAGAAAGCAGGGAGGCACAGCCAGAGCATGCTGGCAAGTGGGAAAAGAGGAATATATATATATTTAATTGTATTTTAATTGTTCTAAATTTATTGTATTTTAAATGTTGTAAGCCGCCCAGAGATCTTTGGGTAGTGTGGGCGGCATATAAATTAAATTAAATTAATAAAACAAAAAAAAGGCGAAAAGGCAAAAGCCCTGCAGCTCTTTAAAGAAGGACGGGTTTATTTCCAAGTGAGCTTTCTCGGATCAACATCCACCCCTTTACACTTTTTGCAACTCGCTGAGACAAACTAACTGGTTCACGTCTCTGGAAAAAGCCAGAGCACTAAAGCATGCAGGGACTCTGCGAGCACCCTCCTCTGGGATAGGCAGGGAGACCTTTCCTATTTTCATTCCTTTTTTTTTCTGGCCAGAGACGCAAATTTTCGGAAACACCTATTAATATTCTTCCCCCGCCCCCCCTCCGAAACAAAGTTAACCCTCTCCTTCCGGGGGTCGTCAGCTGGGGTGCGGCCCCTCGCCTCGAGGCCTTGCACCTCCCCGCCCCCCCTTCCTCCTTCACGCACCTCTGCCCCCTTCGGCGCGCCCCAGGTTTCTAAGAGCGCCGCCTGCAGACCAAGGATAAGCTACACACGCCCCCTTCTCACCTGGCACGAGCCACCGGGGCCTTCTCGCGAGACTTCCCGCTCCAAATCCCGCCAAGCCCATCCGCTGCCCCAGAGGTTTTTTGGAAAGAAAAAAAAAACAAAGCAGCAAGGAATTCCCACTGCGCAGCCGCAGCTGCAGCCATCTCGTGGGAGTGGGAGGAGCAACCGAGGGGGCGTTCAAAGAAGGCCGGAAGTCTCCTCGGCCGGAGGGAAATAAAGCCTCGTGGGGAGGGGGGGAGGAAGGTCCTGTCGGTCATTTCTTGGCCACGCCTCCTCTCGCTAGTCCGGGAGAAGCTTGGGAGGCGGGGCGCCGGTTTTTCTTGCCCTGGGAGGAGGAGGCGGCTGAGGAGGGCTCGAGAGTCCAGTAGCCTTCCTTCCTAACTGTTTGGCCGTAATCCCATTCGCTGCCATTCAGGCTGGGCGTGAAACGGGCCCAGGGGGATCCTCCGAAGCGGGATGCGCGTGAGTGTGGGCAGGTACGTGTCCCCTATAGGTAACTATAGGTGTCGTGCACGCAGTGCAGTGTAAGCGTATCACTATGCATGCATGCATGCTAGCAACAACAGCAATAATAATACCACGTAGTATTATTTTAGAAAAATTAAATAAGATAATGCTTTTTTTTTTGCAAAAACGGGTGCAAAAGTTGCAGCCTCCGCGAAGAATATAACCGGGGGGGGGGGGGGTCGATGGGGTTGCATGCGATGGAAAAAGAATGTGAATTCCGAGGTCGTCGAGAGGCTCCCAGGCGTTGCTTTCGGAAGGAGCAAGGCAACGACCCCAGTAGGAAGCCTTGGAGACGTTGCAGTCATTCGTCCTGTTAAGATGCACCCAAGGCTCCCTTTTTGTTTCTAAATTATCCTCTAGATATGTATTCATCGCCAAATCCTGTATGTACTGTTATAGCTATTCACAGAAAAGTCCTCCTCAGTTTGATTACTCCCACTTTAGTGCTGCACAGCCTAATTGGAATCGGGATTGGGAATAATCATCTTTCTAGGAAACAGCGGGATCCCCGTTCTTTTTAGTAGGAGTCACCCCCACGTGAGAAACTGCCTTGCAGAGAATTAGCCCATGGTCATTTCAGGGTTAGCGTTGCCCGCAGTGGCTGGTAAGTGTTTTTCTACCAGCTTTGAAGCAGGAGATTTCCTTTAGCCTTACCTGAAGATTGCAGGGATTGAATCTGGGATTTTCTGCATGCAAAGCATGTGCTGCCCAAGTGGGATGCAGCCTGGAAGCTGCATGTGGATGATTGGTTGCTAGAAAATTGGTAAGAGGATCATAGATTCTGCCTTGCACAACATGAGTACACCTAACTATTATCTCTTTACATTGACTTTGCTAGATGGGAATCATTTCAAGTAGGAGTATTTCTCAGTCCAGTTGGGAGATGCTGCATTTGAACCTGGGTCTTTATGCATACATACACGGGTCTTTCTTTTCCATTAGCAGCCCCACATGGAGCATGTTACAGTAATCCAGCCGGGAAGTAACTGGGACAAGTATGACAGTGGCCAGATTAGGTATCTCCAGAAACTAATGGAGCTGGTGCACTTCTACTGTTGCTCTCTCGTCATTGATAGCATTTAGTATTCTCAGTGGTCTTGCTGTTCTTTTTTTATGGCACTTCTCGTTGTTGTGGGTGGCATCTCATTTTGCTCCATTTGATCTAAACTAGACATGGGAAATATGTATATGTCTTCCAGGGGAGACAGATATGAATTTTGGCACCACAGGTATCTGGGTCGTTTGGATCCTCCCCCAGAACTGGCCAGTCCACGTCACTCACCAAGCACAGCTATCTTCATTAGCAATGCACCAGTTGCAGAAATATGCCAGATGACTCTTCCCTGCACAGCTGACCACTCAGCAGCTGAGCAGGGAGGCTTGTCATCCCATGCCCTCGCTGGTCGGCTGTGCAGGGAGTTGGGGAAGCACTGGCTACTTCCACAGTTGGTATGTCACAAACTACAATGGCTTTGTGAGCTGCGCAGTGAGTGGTAAGTTGACCAGCAGGTTCTGGGGGCAGGTTCCGAATGATCCAGGCACGTCTGGTAGGCATATCCCATGTCTAATCTAAATTCAAAAACCACAGGCTCCAAATGATCCAGGCACGTCTGGTAGGCGTATCCCATGTCTAATCTAAATTCAAAAACCCTGGAAGGTTTGCCATAAGTTGCAATTGACTTGTCGGCACACAATTATTATTATTATTTTAGTCCCCAGTTAGAAATGTGGGACTTAAGTCAACATGTACATAAATCCCATTGAGTCAGTGGGTCTAGCAGGAGGATTTTGCGCTTAGTTCTTATTCTCTCATCTTTTTAAAGTCGTGATTGTTTTTCAAGAATTTGTATTTATCAGCCTTGAACTTCTGAAGAAAAGGAATCATATTAATTATTTAGCTCTCCAACCTATTTCTGTGTTTGTTTACACTGAAGTAAGTCCCATTAAGGTTATGGATGCAGAGGTTGGAAGCTCACCTTGGGCAAGCTGCAGAGTCCCAGAGTGGCTCCAGAATAAGAGCATAGTAAATCACTTCTGAGTACTCTAGACCTACAAAACCTTGGAAAGGGTCACCATAAGTTGGAAGCAGCTTGATGGCACAATATCTACACCAGGAAAGTGTATATGGGGTGATAGTTCTGTATTGCAGTGCTGTAAATGTTTATCGCACAATAAATCACAGGCAACTGAGTGGGATTGCGTTTCTATAAAGTCATTTAGGAGGATTGCACAGTTAGACAAGGAGCTTTTTTGTGTAGCAGTAGAATTTGATCTAGTTATCATGCTCCCTTTCATATACACAATATCGTCTTGTTTCCTCCAGCGTGCATTCTTTTTCAGCAACCAAATCTTGAGTTGTTGTTTTTGTCAGACAAACAGAAGAAGGAAATTCTTGCTGCTCTACCACAACCCAAGTGAAAATCTGCCAGTAGATCCTGATGTATCTTCTGCCCACTATAGGAAGTTCTGTAGTAGACAATACACAACTGTGTTGTTGACTAAATACTGCTTCCTTTTTACTGGCTCTTGTTCTGTGCTTTTACTTTGTTTTTCTCTCTTTATCCTGCCCATTCTTCCAAATTGCTTCCTGCAATCTGCAGAGCCCCCTTCATGATTCCATTTTATTTTCACAGTGACTGAGTCTATATGTTCAGTGCTTATAGGACTGATGGAACTTGCATTCCAACAACATTTCGAGGAATCAAATTCCCAAACTCTGGGTCCACAAAAGGGTACCCAAACTTAATGGGACTTATTTCAGTGTAAGCAAACACAGAAATAAGTTGCAGGGTTATATAATTTATTCATATGATTCCTATCCTCATTTTCTTCAGAAGTTCAAAGCTAATAATAAATGCAAAGTAATGAAAAAATAGCTTTAAAAAAAGACAAGAGAATAAGAGCTAAGAGCAAAATCCATCTCCTAGACCTACTGAATTCATGGGACTTATGCTGATTTAAGTCCCACGTTCCAACCAGGTGCTCATATAATAATTATGCGCTGTCAATTCCAGTGTACAGCAACCTTTACCAGGGTTTTTGAATTTAGCAAGTGCAGCAAAATGAGATGCCACCCACAACAGCATGGAGAAGTGCCATAAAAACAGAACACAGAACCCTTAAGAACTCTAACATTGCTGTCGATAAGGAGTGAGCAACAGCCAGAGGTAAAGACTTGGACAAGGGAAGAGGGAAAAAAGAGCTATGTATACCTAAAGACCCAGGTTCATATCTAGCATCTCCCAACTGGACTGAGAAATACTCCCACCTGAAATTATTTTGATCTGCCACAATTAATGTAAAGAGATGATACTTAGTACTAATACTGTGCAAAGCAGAATCTATGATCCTCTTACCAATTTTCTAGCAACCAATCATCCACATGCAGCTTCCAGGCTGCATCCCACTTGGGCAGCACATGCTTTGCATGCAGAAAATCCCAGATTCAATCCCTGCAATCTTCAGGTAAGGCTAAGAAAATCTCCTGTTTCAAAGCCTGGAGAAAAACACCACCAGCCACTGTGGACAACACTAAGTGCGAAAGGACCATGGACTAATTCTCTGCAAGGCAGTTTCTCACTCCTACTAAAATCTGCCTAGATAATTTAATGTGATGCCATAAAATGTGTTTTTATACGGTGTTTGTGCATTTTATTTAACATTTTGAAGGGAATGTAAGGCTGTGATGAAGACCAAGCTCAAGAATAGAAGGATGGTCTATATAGAACTGCTGGATAGCTCAGTGGCTTTGATATCTGGCTGGAGAGCCGGAGTCCTGGACAGTGGCTGGACTCGACAATCCATAGAGTCCTTTCTGGCTCTATAGTTCTAAGACTGTTATAGTCTGAGGAGCTGTATTGCTCCCATTCCTCTTTAATACACAGACCTTTTCCCCTTCTTGTTTACTAATTTCTTTCTTATTTCTTTCCCTCTAAAGATTTTCTTGATGTTGCTATTATCTGAACCATTCTTCCTCAGCTACTGTTAGCAGTCCTATGTCTTTTTGAAGTTTGCCAACCAAGAATCAGAAGTTGCAATGAGTTACAAACAGAAGTGGAAATACTACACTGTATTTGGCGCTTGAGCACTCGAGCTTGCAGAATGAGTGACGGTGGCAAACCTGTCGAAAAGAACGCAGGGGAGGAGACAAAAGATTTCAAAGACTTTCCCGAGAGCTTTAATCAGCTTGAATTGTTGGAAACACACCGGGATCTAATCCCCAGAGGAACGCAGAGCCTCTGGTCTGGAGAGTCTGATGATGAAGATCAAGAAGACAAAACAGAGGAATGGTACCAAGCTCAAGAGAGAAAATTGGAAAACAACCCAGATAAGCTTCTGCTTTGGGCAGCTGAAAAAAATAGGGTAAGTCAGTTGGGCAGGTTCATAACTTAGTTTTTTCTTTTAAAATAGGCTAAATAACTCTTTCATCATTTCTAACACAGTCAGGGCAGTGGTGGAGAACCTTTGAGCATCAGGGGTTGTTTGAGTATAACTCACACAGTTCTTTCCCATTGACTGTGGCAACTGGGGCTTCTGGGAGCTAAAGTACTAAACATTTAGAGCAGGGGTCCCCAACCTTTTTCACCCCGTGGACTGGCTGGGGAAAGCGGGGCATCCCCCGCGCCCGTGTGCATATGGCGGCACGGCACTCTCACGGGCACGCTGGAGAGAGCGTGCATGTGGGGGACGGGGTGGGTGGTCTGTCTCCACGGCCCAGTCCGGCTCGGGCCATGAACCGGCACCAGGCTGCAGACCGGGGGTTGGGGGACCTCTGATTTAGAGGGCCAACATTTCCTCACTTGGGCCTTGAGAAATTGAAGTATGAAGTGGGATTCAATTGCTAGTCTCTTGTGCTTTAAGTCAGTCATTAGAATTCAAGCTTGTCTCCAAGATACGAGGAGCAGTAGTATGATAAAAGGTTGTGCACACAAGGGCAGTAATACCAAGAGCAGTAACATTTTATCTTGGTGTCTTCTGTGTACCGTGATATAGAGACAATGCAATAATTAGTAAAATAGGTCTGACATAACTTCATGTTATCAATGCAAGAACTCCCGTACATGAAGCGCCAGTGTGATGTAATGTTTGTTGAAAGGGCTGCAGAATCTGCTCAGAGATGGTGGGTTCCAGGTTTCACCTCTGGCAATGTGGATTAGTATGCCCCAAACTTGCTAGGCAAGTAATAATCACTAAGTGCCTCAACATCCCCACACACACAACCATGCCTTAAATTGAAATCTGAAAATTGGCATCTCTGACTGGGTTCTGCAGCCTCCATTTTGGAACTTGCTTTAAACAAGGAAGCTGATCCATGCATGTGGCTGTGGGTTTTGAGACTTATATATTTTCTTTTCTCCACCGCCCTGAGCTCATCAAACCCCAGTTTGATGACGACTCATGCAGCATCAAAGGCTAGCCTTTTTGAGATTTTAGTGGTCTAACAAACATATTGGCCACCTTATCTTCAGATTATGTATAAGGACCACACCACTCTTTTTGATTAGACTAGAAAGGTAATAGTTAAGCTCTTTTCAAAGGCTGAGAAAAAAGAAACTTCAGCAAGGCTCAGTAAACTTCATACATATTTAGGGCCAGGTTTTCAATACCTGAAGCTGCGGGTTAAACCGCTGAAGCCTCTATGCTTCAAGGTCAGAAGACCTGCAGTCATAAGATTGAATTCACACGATGGAGTGTTGCCCCATTGCTTTTCCCAGCTCCTAACAACCTAGCGGTTTGAAAGCATGCAAAAACGCAAGTAGATAAATAGGTACCACCTCGGTCGGAAGGTAAACGGCCTTCCGTGTCTAGTCACACTGGCCACATGACCATGGAGGATTCTCTGTGGATAAATGCTAGCTCTATGGGTTGGAAAAGGAGATGATCACCACCGCTTAAGAGTCAGACACAACTGGACAAAATTGTCAAGGGGAACCTTTACCTTTTACCTTTCAATAGTCAAACCTTTCAATAGTCCAACTTCGTATTCTGTCAGTGGTCCAATATTTGACCTAACAATAATGTTTTTCTCTCTCCCAGCTTGCTACAGTACAAAGGCTCCTAAATCAAAATCTGGCTTTAGTAAATGTCCAAGATGAAGACCAATATACCCCTCTCCACCGTGCTGCCTATAGTGGACACTTGGAAATTGTTCGTGAGCTGATTGCTCATGGTGCAGATATTCATGCGCTAACTGTGGATAGTTGGACCCCACTGCATAGCGCTTGCAAGTGGAACAACACAAAGGTAGCGTCATTCTTGCTTCAGCACGGAGCAGATATCAATGCTCAGACCAATGGTTTACTGACACCGCTGCACCTTGCGGCAGGAAACAGGGATAGCAAGGAAACCCTGGAACTCTTGCTCATGAATCGCTATTTGAAGCCAAATCTCAGAAACAACTTGGATGAAACAGCCTTTGATATTGCTCGGAGGACTGATATCTATCACTACCTGTTTGAAACAGTTGAAAATTGCACAAATTCTGTGTCCGATTCATAAGAGGTGTAAACATTTGAATGTTGTGTGTGCTGCCCATGCCTTTGTAAGAAAAGCATTTTGTAATTGCACTCAGATTTGGTGCTTTCAACTCCACCTCTCACCATAGCTTTACTCTATGACAGTGGTTCCCACCTGGGTGGCCCAAGTCGTCTCAAACTGCAATTCCCAGGAGTGAAATGTTCTTGGACTGCAATTCCCAGAAGCTGTGCTGGCCAGAGTTTCTGGGAATTGCAGTCCAAGAGCACCTGGCTTAAACACTGCTCTAGAAGATTCTCAAATACTATATCACTTTGTTACAATGTTGTTATTTTTGTAATACAAAACCATACTACCCTTATATATTTGAAACACTTCCACTTTTACTTGAAAAGCTTAGGAGACATTCTCAATATCCTAGAATTGTTTCATACACATACCATTTAATTGGATAGAAGTAGCTCAATAAGTTATTCCCAGTTCCAAAAACAGCATTGGAACACTCAGGAGGGGACGTCAACAGTGGCTGTTTCTTTTGTTTTAAAGCTATCGGGAAATGAATGAGATGTGATTGCTGATGGACAAGCCTGAGCAGAAGGGCGCATTGGAAACAAATTATCAATTTACAGCTTCTAGCCAGTACTAAGGTTAGCATCCAGCCATCAACGGAAGATAATGACATTTTCTCTGCTGTTATAAATGTAATAAAATTTAAAACAAGATTTAAACTTTCAAAGGCATGCTTCAGTATTTGGTCTACTGGTCTACCTTCAGAACATAAAACCTTGCATTTTCAGGCTGTCATTTGTAAGGGGATTGTGAATGCCTCTATGAGATAATGTTATGCAGGAGCAGTATTTTCCCAATTAATCCACATTATTAAATTCCACTGATGCCTTCAGTTTTTCAGTGTTGAGTGGGTTCTTTGTATAATGTTGCCATAGTAGGCATTTAGCAGTGATAGCTTTTTAAAAGATAGTTGCAGCAGCACAATATATAAGAGCTGAAGAAATCTAAGAGCCAGATTGCAGAACTTACTCAGTAGTACCCCAGTTCATATTTATTTGCCCTCCTTTTGGAAGCCTTCGTCCATGATCCATAAACATGAGAAGCAGTCTTAAAGACATGTTGAGCTAGTTCACCTGGCATTTCAGTACACCCAAGGTTGGAGGAATTCATGTAAACACTGTTCATGGTTTCAAGAGAGCTAGACGGTTCCACCCTGTTAACATTAAAGGTTTGTAAAGGAATTCATGTAAACACTGTTCAAGAGAGCTAAGACTGTTCCACCCTGTTAACATTAAAGGTTTGTACTGAGCAGAAGCAGAGTACAAAGTCATTGGTTATCATTTGCATGTATAGCATCTTTGTGTATATATGGAATGGTGTACGTGCAATGAGGTGTTGAGGCTGTGCTGATTTTGGGAACTGGAGCTGCAGAATTGAATCTTCATCTCTGCAAGAAATATGGGCTCATGAAAATAGGACTATTGTGTACCACACTGGAACTCATGTGTTTTGTGTGAACCAGGCTTAAATTAGGTTATCATTTGCATGTATAGCATCTTTGTGTATATATGGAATGGTGTACGTGCAATGAGGTGTTGAGGCTGTGCTGATTTTGGGAACTGGAGCTGCAGAATTGAATCTTCATCTCTGCAAGAAATATGGGCTCATGAAAATAGGACTATTGTGTACCACACTGGAACTCATGTGTTTTGTGTGAACCAGGCTTAAATTAAAAGTAAATCTGCTGGAACTCATGTGTTGTGTTTTGTGTGAACCAGGCTTAAATTAAAAGTAAATCCCACTGAAATGAACTCATTTGATTTGCTGTGGTCTGATATTGGTCCATTGTTACTGATTAAGGTGAGCAATATTCAACCGCCCTCCAGATGTTCTAGCCAGTGGTACAGGATGTTGGGAGTTGCAGTCCAATATCTGTTTGGGATTTTGCAAGTTGTAGTCCCACAGTTGCTTCTTCCAGTGGTAAATGTAGAATGTCCTCTTTCTAATTGAGGCTAGTCCTGATTAAATGGCTTGAAGGCTATAACTACTCAGAACTCATAAGCTAAAATCCACTTATCTTTGAAATAGGATCAGCCAAATAGTTTGTACAGCCAGAAACATTGTAATCCAAAGCCCCAATTCTGAACTAGAAAGCACAAAAAAGCCCTCAGACTATGGAACGTTCTTGAATATATGTTTGATTAGCTACGAAGTGTTGCAGTGTGCTCCATAAACTGAGTCAATTTAAGATTACTAGTACATGATGCTGTTTACTTATAAGTTGACCTTTCTTCTCCCAACTATGCTTCTTTATAAACATGCCAGTCTTGATAAAATCAGTAAAAATACCATTTTCCTAACTACAGTATATTTATTGGAAAGTAAAACTCGTTGAAATGGATGACGTTTAACTTTTGACTAAACTGCTGGCATAAGACTACATTCTGCTATTTTAAGCACACTTAAATGCTTCAGGAGCTGCCATCTAAGCCATTTTAAACATCAGTGTATTAACCAAAGTGGTTTGCAGATCACTGCCTTAAGGTTACACTACAAATTTAAGCTGTTTTAAAGTTTCACAACCTCTCCCTAAACAATTCTGAGAACTGTAGTTTTGTATAAGAATCCTGTGATTCCCTCAAGGGGAAAGGGGTTATCTGAATTTTGGAACTACAATTCCCAATATGGGAGCTATGGAAAATACGGAGGTTTAGAATTATTTCAGATGTGTAATGTAGAGATAATTACTTTGTGGCATGCCTTCAGGTAGTGAAAATCAGCAAAGATCTACTATGACTGAGAGCAGCAAAGCGCTAGTGCATTATTATGAGAGAACTGGAATATTTATTATATTAAATGACAAAGATGCAGTCAAAGTTCACTTTATATATATTTTTCTTTTGTGGGATAACTTGTTCACTTTTGAAAGCTGCATGAAAAGTGAAAGTGAATGTAACTGAATTTATGCAGGTAACATTTGAAATTATGTATACTGTAATTCTGCTGTGAGTCTTAAAAATAAAATATTTAACACAGTGAAACTTGATCAGGTCTTCTGTTCCAAGCTCAGTTGCAGCGATCTGTGGGTGGAATAAGAGCACTACCTTGGATACTAATAGAGTTCTCAGAAATGTTGTCGATAATATGCCTTTGAAGCCCTGTCTTAAGGGGAAATGCATAATAGCATTTACTTGAGAGCTTGGCTGGAAGTTACAGCACTTTGTGCAGGTCTTTTACAAAATGGTTATTCATATACACCAGCATTTTCTTTGATGATATGGAAACGGCTTCCTGGCAGTAAGTATGCTTTTATCAACAACCTACAGAAACGAACTCTGAGAGCAGAAAACATCCCTTCTTTTCTGTGGTATCGTTTTTCTTCACCTTACTAGAATACCACCACCCTCATTCGTTTGCTATCTCAGGACATACGGCAAGCTGTTTTGAAACAATTCAGGGTGGTGCATTTTACTTAGATACACAGTAAGAATTACCAGATTACATAGTCATATACCTGATGAGGGGAAGAAACTGCTTTATATTTTTGCTAGGTCTGTGTGAGCATCAAGATAACCAGCATTGTAGATATGTGTCGAAAGCAAGACTGGTACTTTGCAATACTTAACAGGTAACATGTGTTAGTGTTTTGTTGGGTGTGATGTTTTTTGTGTTGATGCTTCTTCAAAAGCAAAGAGTAAGGCACAAGAAGAACCTACAGTACTACAGTATTCATCTAGAGAACCGCTGGTTACAATCCTAGTCAAGTGTGTTATAAAGTAGCCCTTTTTAAAAGAAAGCAACAATTTACAATTGTGCATAAAATTGCAGGCTAGATAAACTTAATGGTGTGTTGGATTTAGAAGGGAGAACAAAATTGTAGAAGTACTGTGGCATATTTAAGAGTTACACATTTATTTCATTGGGACCTTTTATGGATTACAGTCTTATCTCTTCAGACATATAAAATTCTGCTGCCATGGGAAGGAGTTCTTCCATGAGATTGCACTCCAGTAAGTATCCTTCTGGCCACTAGGTATGACTACCGATATATATTATTTTGCCCAAGAGATCGGTAGCTTTGCCCAAAACAACTGGCAAAGCAGGGTGGGGTGAGGGCAGGATCACATCTTCAGTGGGATGAACAGTCTGCAACTCGATAGGTTTGTCACCTTGGTCTCATGTAAAATGTAAAACTTCATTTGTCTTTCTGGCAGTCTTTTGCTTGAAACCAAAGTTTCACACTGTCTTTGCCTGATGCGGAGCTGTGACAAGGTCAAAAGTTTGCATTGTCACTTTTTAGTGCCCCAGAACTTTGCTATCAGGAATTTAGGGGTTTGACACCAACTCTCTCCATCCTTGCATTCAGGTAGTGCCTCCTTTTAACAAACTGCATTATATGCAAAACTGCATTAGTTATTTTTCCCCTGACAGATGCAATGCCTTGATGGAGGAATCTTCACCTGTTGAACTACTGCCTAATTCAGCCATAAAAGGGATAGGACTGGCAACCCATGGGTGTGAAGAAGCAGCCCTGAGGTGCCTAGGAGGCGCTACACCTTGTCCATAGTAGCTTGGGATCTGAGCTGCTCTTAAAGCCTTCGGTTGTTTTGGGCTTCACTGAGGCAATCCCCAAGGCCTAAGCTCAACACTATCCCCACTGAGCTTGTAGCATAGCCCTGGTTGCCATGACAACTCCCGGAGGCCTCGGCCTTGCCTGACTCTAGGCCTGGGCGTGCAGTCGTATGATCGCCTCTTCGCCCTCGAGGAGCACCGCTCCCATTTTACCTAGTCCAAATCCCCTCCCGCCCCCAGTGGGTGAGAGAGCAGGTCCACCTTCGCGCTCCCCGCCCATTCTCCTCCCTCCTCCTCCTCCCTCTCGCCGCCGCCGCATCTACAAGCCTGAGGCTCGTTCCTATGGCAACCGGCCTGCGCGTCCCGCTGGCCTGGGCGCGGCTGAAGCAGGCGGCGGCGGCAAAGACGACCACGGTGAAGGGGCGATGACAGCGTCGGCCGGCGACCAACTCGAGCCCAGGGTGGGGGATTCGGGAAGCCGGCCCTACACGGAGTACAATGAAGGGGGTCAGCCTTGTGAGTGTACGCGGGGGTGGGATGGGGATGGGGGTGAGGGTGAAGAGATGGGGCGCAGGAGTCCTACAGATGCTCCATGCTCCCCATGTTTGAGGAGGCTTTTACGGTATATTCTTCAGGAACCACGTTGCTTATTGTTCCCCACGGTGTGTGTGTGTGTGTGGGGGGGAGTCGGCACTGCTGTTGCTATCCAGTAAGAACACAGTACTGTTTATTCTCTCCCACCCTGTAGTGGGACATAGCCTAGCCCTAGGGTGACCACCCACGCATAACCCAAGAGGATGGAAGAGGACGTATTTGCATAAAATTACAAACGCAAATATATGTGTGTGTAAGCAGCTGCAAAATTAGGTTTTAAAAATTAATAATGTAGGCAGAATTGCAATGCATTTCAAGTGGGGAAGACGGGGGGTGCGATGGATGGGCAGCTCCAGTATCCATTCTGGTGTGTTATCTTTAAATCACATCTTCAAAAGAAGGATCCCTAGGAAAAGGGGCTTGTCTTGCAAAGAGATGACATGTCTCCTTAAAAGCAGACTTGTGGTCACCCTAACAAGGCTGGTCTTCTCCAGTGGCATCTCCCTGAATCATCAGACTCAACTAGCCTCCACCTAAATTGGCTTTGCCATGATTGGGAAGCTGTTTTTCATGCTTCCTTTCCAAGAGAGGTATCATCCATCTGGATTCCTCCCTCACCCATATTAGACCCACCATTCATGTTTAAAATAGAAACTCCCTAAATTCACCCAGTAATGACAACTATCCTGGCTTGCAGTGTTACAGTATCCTTGGGCAGGTTATTAATCCCCCATGTTTATTTGGTACATGTCTACATTTATATCTCATCTTTCTTCCAACGATGGTCTGTGCGTACGGCTGCCCTCCTCATCTCATCATGAGTCTGTGAGGTAGGTCAAGCTGAGAGGAAATACGTACTGGCCCAAAGTCTCTCATTGGGACCCATAGCTGTAGGGAAGATTTAAATTCAGGACTCCCTAGCCCTAATCTTCCACTCCCACCACAAACCATGCTGGCTGTCATAATAATCACAAGAATATTCCCTGTACTTTGAGAGTTTCTTGTACATGACTAAAACATCATTGTGAGATCATTATTTTTTAATATCATGGAAAGATTGCTGTCCTCAAGGGACATTCCTTTCATAGTAGTCAAGGAGATCAAAATTCAGCCAGTGACGGCACACACTGTTCACAAATTCCCATGATATTTCTCTTCCTTACATCCCAGTTATACTTCTCTTTCAAATGGAACTTCTAAATTGTTGGAACACAGTGAAAACACATCTGCCTGCATTTTTATAATCCCTTCGTGGGCTTGGCTATAGTGGCTGATACAACAAGCAACCTGTGTTTGAAAATATATACAGTACCAAAGGGTATAGCAGGGGTTTGGTTTGGTTTTGCTCTTGTGGCCCTGCAAGCCTTCCATAAACCCAGAACTGTGTGAATTCATATGTGTCTTCTGAGGTTGTGGAGGGCAATCTTGCTATGCTTTGAGAGACTCCAGCCCCCTTTTCTTTTATTTCTTTTATTTCTTTTTCCTTTTTTTGGCCACTGATGGGTATTAAATTTTTCCCAGTTAAAAAATGTTAAAACTATATTTTCAACTAACATAAATTAACTGTAGTGAGCACTGTAGTGTAGCATTGAGCAGGGGGTTGGAATCAGAGGCCTTATGTGCCCTTTCCAACTCAGTTATTCTATTATTCTGTTACCTTTATACTCAGTTCAGTTAACAAAAATCCATAGCAGAGACGACAACCAGTGCACTGTATTAAAAAAAATCAGACTAGTCTCCTTAGCCCCATCCTATGAGAGTGCAGCCCTGAGCTGGGGGGAAATCTGAGAAGTGGTCTTGCTGAAATTGCCCACCCCAGTGAACAGGTTATCACTTTTTATGGTGACACAGATTTATACACATCCCAGAAAGGAATTTCTAGTTACTTCCCCAATTTTGTGCCCTACCAATGTAACTAAAACTCCCATCATAGCCATAACTGATAGGAACTGAGAATCTCAGGAAGGTCAGTTCTTTGACCATGTCCATGTGCTCTGCTTCACCTCCACTACTGTTGAATTGTAGTACAGTATGTGCATATGTCTGGTTATGCAATTAGTTTGGTTCTACAGTTGACAGTGTATATGTAACTTTATTTGTATGCAGCACCCTCTGGTGCTCTAAAGAAGAAAATAAATTAACTGTATCTTTTTACCAAACCATTTACTGTACAGCATACCTTTTTCAGCCTTCATCATAGGTTTCCATAATAGTTTTTTAGATGCTAAGGGATCCGTTTACAAAATTCTTTAATCAGTACTGGAAGATGAGGTATGCTTTTTTGTTTCTGTAGAAAAACTGGAAGCATACTTCATTGCATGCCACAAAGAGTTCACTGAGGTTAGATTCCATTTATTTGATGAAGCAAGCAGCAGTCTACAAAACCTTAAGCTAAATAAAATGTGTCCTTTTTGTGATGTCACAAGATTTTCTGTATGTTTTTATTGCAAGAGACTAATGTGGCTTATACCTATCCAGTTCCTACTTTTAGAGTACTTCTGGCTGTTCCTTTGATAACTTTCAATATGTATATCCTTTCTTATTAGATTTTGGTTGAAAGATTTGTTGAAATAAAACAGATAGAGGAAGTGCTGAGAAAACATGGAGTGTGGGAAGTTACAAGTGTAAGATTATGTTATCTGGATTCCCTATAAAACTCAGCAAATGAGGCAGTTCAATCTATGAAAAAAGTCTCATCTGGAAACATATGAATCTAGAAGAGGAAGAGTATGTAACCTTCGGAGAAATATATCCTGATCAACCTTTAGTACTGAAGCATTAAAAAAGCCAACAATAATAGCTTCCTTTGATGAGGCATAATTTTGCTGTGTACCTGTATTTGGCATCATAGCAAAGCAAACGCTATTGACCATGACCTAGCAGAGACTAACTGAAAGAAGACGCTGCTTGAGTTGCAGAGAAAAGGGGGGAGGGCACCAAAACCTACGTATATTCATAAAAACACCAAGTGAAAAATATCTTAATAATATGGAAATCCCGTTAGGGCCGCTATAAGTCAGATATGACTTGATGACATAGCAAATCAATAGCAAATAACTAAACCTTAGCAGAGGCGTTCCAAGCTTTCAGAACTGGAGGGAAATTCCAACAAAAGCTGAAAGTCACCAAGTGAGGCTGTCAAGGGGAAGAGTTGTGATCATGTAAGGAACCTCAGAGGACCAGAAAATTCCTGCAGGTTTGTATTCAGCCTCTGGACCTCAGGTTCCCTACCCCAGCATAAAGAATACTGATATGGAGATACCAATTGTCTGTATTTGTATACTACACCCCTTAAGTCTGTTAGTATGTTATGGAAATATAAAAGATTATGCTGTGTTATTGGACCCCATGAGTATTGTACTTTACATCTGGGAAAAGATATGTCTAAGCTATAGAGCACCACTGGTTTCTATAAAGCACAATCATTATTTTTCTTAAATATTTTGTTTGCCTTTTATGTGATTTTTATAATATTAATTAGAATAATTTTTGTTAAGCATGACTATAATTATATAGTTTTCATAATGCCAAGGCATAGCATTCAGGAACTCTTTAGCTTATGCCTTGAAATTACTTTTTTGTGAAACAGGGAAGAAGTTTGTATATGTTGAACCACCCAGGAGAGTTAAGGAAGTACTAGAAGAAGAGCTTTATTTCCATAGAGATGACTGCAGAGTCAAACACCCTTCAGAAGGTAAGCTATTTTGTCTGACATGTACAGTACATTTCAACTGATAGCTCTTGGACACTGGTTTCATACCCAGATGTTATTGGACTAAAACTCCCAGAAGCCTTCACCACTAGCTCTGCTAGCCCGAATTTTTGGGAGTTGTAGATCCAGAACATATAGGGACCCAGGTTGAAAACCACTGTTCTAGGAGGTATCCATCTGGAAATTCACTCACTTCCTAATATACGTCACATGGTTGTTGACATTGTGACATAGCAGGCCACTCTGATGTCACCCCCAACTCAGGCCTCTCAGAATGTCCACCACACCACTTCACGCTCGCTTCCACCAATTGTACTGTCTATTTAAGAAGGACAAAGGTTTCCTTCAAAACAAATCAGGTTTATTGAAATAACAAAATAAAATATGAAAATCACAAGTAGCTAATCACAATGTCAATCACTGTATCTTATTTAATCAATCACAGAATTCCCTCATTGACCACTTAGGCACGCAGGCCTCTAAACAAGCTCTTTCTCTCTCACATACTCCTGATCTGATCTCCCACACTCTCTTCACACCCCTTTTTCTTCCAGCTCCTCCCTCTTCAGCTCCACCCTCCGTCACCCCATTGGCTGATGATCCACCACCCAGCCGTGACGGACAGGTGGGGTCAGGGCTGCCTGTTACAGTCATAGATATAAAAGAATAACTACATGTGTTTTACCCTGAACTTGTTGGAAAACAGGCTGCCAACAGATGACAAGTGTGACATGATCGTAAGCCTATTTTATAATTTGTCCAAACCTAGATTGCAACTTGCAAGCTGCTGTTACAAATTTCTGTTCTGGGAAATCATAGAATCATAAAGTTGGAATGGACCTATAAAGCTATTGAGTCCAACTCCTTGCTCAATGCAGGAATACAAATCAAAGCTATCTGCCAGGTGGTTATCCAAATTTCTCTTGAATGCCCTCAGTGTAGGGAATTAATGTAAACCAAGTGGGGTAGTTAATCTTAAATAAATTATTAGACAAGTGCTACGTTGAAATGCATATATATTATTTGATATTAAAATAGGGACAATCTATTCTGTGATTCATATTTCTTGTCTGGTGAGTACAATAACAGCAAATTCATTGGCTTTGCTAGAGCCTGCTCTTGTATTCATTCACTGGGACACTAGCCAAATGTGCAATTATCTATTGGGCAAGAAAGAAGCAGAAAGGGAAAATAGACTGAAAGAATATTTCAACTTCATTTAACAGCTATTTAAAGCCAGGGTTTGGCTATAGGTAGCTGAACATTGATCTTTGAAAAGACAGATTCAGAATTCCCATAAATCCCCATCTTGTCCCCTCCCCACTTAGCAAGAATAAAAGGCCAGTTGTTCTGTGTTGTTAGATCACTTCCAACCTATGGCAATTCTAATAGGGTTTTGGTGGTAAGTGAGATGTTCAAGGAGTGTTTTACTGTGTTGCCATATACTCACACATCTTTAAGTTTCCAGATCCAAGCAGAGATTTGAACACAGGTCTCCTGAGTCATAGTCCAACATTTTTTCACTACAGCACATTGGCTCTCAAAAGATAAGAGTATGCAAATAGCTTTACATTTTGCTGTCACTTTACACACTAATTTTCTTGCTGAAGAATCCCAAAGCATCAGCTGTTGAACTCATACACACTTTAGAGTTATTCTTCAAATCCATCTTTTACCTCTTTTGTAGCTATCAGTGTTCAGGTCCACAATACCTATGCCATACAGTAGAACTGAGAACATGTAGCACCGTGCAAGGCCACATTGAGGTATGGCTGCCTGGGCTAGAACCCAGAGCCTACTATCTGCAGGGATCTATTAGTATTAGACAAATAGGAAGCCACCTGCTATCAACCTGTACCATTGTTCCATCAGGCCCAGTATTTTCCCTGCTGCCTAGTGGTGGTTCTCTAGGAGATGGCAAGGATTGAAACCTGAGTCCTCCTACATGTAAAGTATGATCTCTAGCACTTAGCTAGGCATACCTCCAAAATGTGGTGCAGTTCCTATTGCACATTTTGTTTCTGCCATGTTAATTACTCTTCCTTCTCTGTGTTTACTGCTTGTGGGCACAAAGTGCAAAAAAAAAAAAAAAAAAAGGCAGAAAGGCCACACTTCCTACTAGGAGATCACTGCCCAGAAATGTGCTGTGTGGCATTCCAAGCTTGAACAATCTGTTTTAGATAAAAACTGTCTTTTTTGTTTCTAAAAAAGGTTAGGGCCACCTCCTGGTGTGCATTTCAATGTCATTGTCTTCAGTGCTTTCCTTTCTTTGGGTCGGAAACACCACAGTACAATTAATACATGTGTCAAATAGTTTTCACTCAATAACAGGAAACATCAAGAGCATTTGGGGGGGCTCTTATATCACATTTTCCATGCCACTTGTTGAGGGGCATAGGCTAAATGGATGTAGGTGTGAAGGTGCCTGTTCTTCTCCACATGCACAAAGAACTGTGTTGGGGCAACCCCCCACCCATTTTCTTAGTTCAGTTTGGTCCTACTAACTCCACTCTATAGCTTTTTAGGTGATTTCCATGTAAATCAGTTCTCTATGTGACTGGGACTAGACTTTTCTGGGGTTCCCTCCATTTTAAGAAATGAGTAGTTATTTCCACAACGTAGGTTCTGATATTCTCTTCTGCTTCTTCAAGAGTCATAGATGATCTTTGGGGGTGGGGGATTCATTGATTTTAGTCTGGGATGGGCAATGTGGTAGCCAAACAGTAGATGTGCATTTTATATACCATATATGCTTTAAGTCTTTTACTGTTAGCTGCTACCAATCTCATTATGTCACTGGGTGCAATGCCTGCTAAGTAACTGATTTTATCAATAAGGGCTGGCTTCAGGCATCCAGTAATGGTTATATGGCTTTAATTGAGTTCTATATCTACCTGCTTCACATGGGCTGAACTATAGCACACCCAGCAGGGGAACATGGAGCCAAAGGTGTAGTTCTTAATGTTTGGGGTTGTGTGCCTCAATTGGTTCCCAATACCTTCAGAAGAATATTCTTCTTTGTAGTGACTGTTTACTTTGTATTTTAGCAGTGTTTCTTATAGAGCAACATAGATCCAAAGTAATATCTAGGTATTTGGGAGCAAAACAATGATCTAGTTAGAGTGTCTTTCTAGGCAACTCGAAGTATCTGAGATTCCTGCTTGTTTCTTGGACAGAACCAGAAGGCATATATTTGAGTCTTAATAGTGTTGTATTTAAGTGAGGGGGGGGCAGAAAGAGCCTCCTTGAAGAACGTGAACGCATTGGTGCATCTGCTGGGCAACAGCATCACTTCTTGATTGATCCTTCTAATGTGAGGTGGTATGAACACTATTAGTATAAGGTGTCTCGGCCCCTACAGGATCCCTTCCTTACTATAAGGTGGACAGGCATAGCAGATATACTCCTATGGCTTAACCTTCAACTACAATAAACATCAAGAGACCCTTGCTTATAGGAAACTCAGTTCCCCAGTTCTTTAGTTCTAGCACTAGAGGCCAATTAGTCTAAGGCTTTTCCTTCTGAGCACAAACAAAATACAATTAAACTGTCTATAAGCGAGGCTTACACTTGTCTTCCATGGAGTAGATAGACACTGGCTGATGTTGGCTTCACACTTCACCATGGTGGCAAACCTGGTTGTCAGTGGCTCTGGCTGGTTCTCAGGCAGTAGCAGACCCTGGGCTAACAAGGCTTTTTTTTCTTCTGGAGACCACTTCCTATCTTATCAGCTATGCATCTAGCCTACTCTCTGTTTCCTATCGGAGAAACTTGCTTTTCTCTGGGCTTCTCTATTTAATTCCACCTTTCATCCCTAATTGCCCTGTGAACTGCGGTCAGATTTTCCAAGTAACTGCTGCCAGTACTTTCATTTTTGCTGTGTCCTGTGCTGGTAACTTCTCCAGATGAGTTCTTCTGGTTTGTCTCAAGCAGGATAGGGTCTACCTGGCTATATTCACAGAAATTCAATGTGGAGTCCTGGACAGAAACAAAGTGACAAATAATTCATGTATGATGAGATAAAAAGAAAACAATTGCACAGTTACAAGATGGGAGATACCTGACTCAGCAAAACTACGAGTGAGAAGGATCTTGGAATTGTTGGAGATCACAAGCTAAATATGAGCCAACAGTGTGATATGGCTGCAAAAAAGGCAAATTCTATTTTAGGCTGCATTAATGGATGTATAGTTTCTAAATCACACAAGGTGCTAGTCCCCCTCTATTCAGCACTGGTTAGGCCTCACCTTGAGTATTGTGTCCAGTCATGGACACCACACTTCAAAAAGGATGCTAACAAATTGGAACAAGTTCAGAGGAAGGCAACAAGGATGATCAGGAGGCTGGAAACCAAGCCTTATGAGGAAAGGCTGAAAGAACTGGGCATGTTTAGCCTTCAGAAAAGAAGACCGAGGGGTGATATGATAGCACTTTTCAAATATTTGAAAGGCTATCATACAGAGGAGGGGCAAGATCTGTTTTTGATCATCCCAGAGTGCAGGACACCCAACAATGGGCCCAAGTTGAAGGAAGCCGGATTTTGGCTGAATATCAGGAAACACTTCCTAACTGTTAGAGCAGTATGACAGTGGAACCAGTTACCTCAGGAGTTGGTGAGTGCTCCAACATGAGGCATTCAAGAAAAACTTAGAAAATCACCTGGCAGACCTGCTTTGATTGTATTCCTGCATTGAGCAGGGGGTTGGCCTTGTAGGCCCCTTCCAACTTCCTTTCTATGATGTATTTATGCACTGAGCCTGCAAAGGGGTCTCTGCTACAAATACAAGGGTCTTCCTACATATTATGTGGCTTTGCAAGCCCCTCCTTCCAGGGTCTTTGTACTGAGTGCAAGTGTTTACAGAGGGGAATTTCATGCAAGTAGATTTCACTTAAGCAAATGTCTATAATCAGTGTTTGGTCAAATTGAGACCTGGGAATATATGTGATCTTAGGCTAGCTATGTACTCAGGATGATTCCTTCATACCCTTAACACAGGAAGGTCTTCACAATATTTTGCTTCAAGGAAAGCACACTATAATGTTTCAATGGTAAGTACTAAACTTTTTTCATAATTGTTGTATCTGATTTTGATTTTGTTTCCTTTTGTTGTGTACATAAAGGCACATCAATGTCAAGTGTGTAAGTTCCCAGATTTAAGCTCTATGGTTGTTAATTCCTAATTGTTCACCATACTGTTTTACCATTGAAACAATGCATGTGAAACTGGATGTTTTCATTTTAAGGTGTGCCACAAGCCTTAAAATGCCATGCGGGTTCCTTCTAGATCTGCAGTGATAGAATTGTGTTGTCTGTGAATGGGTTATAAAACTGTTTCCATGGGTACCACTGGTTACATACTATATAAAATTGGAAGTGCAGAATGAACCTTTAATTCTAATGGTGTGTTTGTGTTTTACAAACAGTGGCTCTGGAAAGAATTTGGAGTTTGAGAAGGAATTTCCCTGTGGGAGCCTTTCAGCCAACATTGCAGAATCCAAGCAGCTTGCTTTCCCAGCTCAAGTACTACTCTCGGCACACAGTAGTAAGAAGTAAGAAGTTGCTCATCCTTTCTTTCCCCCATTATAACAAAAACACATGACTTTCAGGATAAAAATATATGTCAGTGAACAGTGAAAAACTATGATATATGCTAAATCTCTCCTAAATCGCCATCACTTGCCTGTGAATCCCATTCATCCAATTTAGAACAGTCCCACAAAACGTTTATGGTCAAAATCTAAACACTAACCCAAGAGTATTCCACCCTTGCTTCAAAGAGCTACATGCAATACATGTTTATTCTGTTTTATCCTCTTAACCTAGAGGGTAGGTAAAGCTTGAGATATAGGATGATTATCTAATCATAAGCTTCATAGTTGAATTAAACTGAAGTTTGTGGAGTCCTGGCTAAACATCACACTGGATTTTTCTTTGTGCCTTCAAAATACAGTGAGCAACACAGCCCTCAGATTCTATGACCATGTTTGGATTTATGCATAGCTTATTTGTGCCCTTTCATTTTGCTTCTTCAGGTGAAGAACTGGCTTTTTATAGGTTAACACTCTGAAGGGATGGTACATGTATGTACTTTGCAAGGAAGGGCAGTGGTAGCACCCAAAGATACCAGTGTATTTTCCCATAAGATTTGAGCTTGCTGTCCATAGACAGAGAACAGGTCATTATTGCAGGAGAAAGAAGTACACTCCCTAATGTCAAGCTAATAAAATGCCCACTCCCCCAGATTAGCAAAGGAACAACTGGAATGACCTCAAGTGCCAGATCTGTTAGGAAAACCTGCAGCTGCAATGTCAACTCATTTGCTTCAGGATAGGCCAAATAAAAATAAATGAGTTACTATGAATCATGCATTACAACCTCTTTTGCATTTCTTGAGGCTGTATTTTGTACTTATTGCATTAATATCCTTCTTTTTCTCCAATGATTTCAAAACAGTATTTAAGATATTTTTTTTCCAGCAGACATTTTATTTTTGCAACAACCCTGTGAAACAGGACAAGATTTAGTGATTGGCTTGAGGTGTCCCAGTGAGTTTCATGGTTCAGCAGAAACTGATACTGAACCTAGGATGCAGTTTGTTGTTTTTAGTTCTTAAGTCGTGTCCGACTCTTCGTGACCTCATGGACCAGAGCACACCAAGCCCTCCTGTCTTCCACTGCCTCCCGGAGTTGGGTCAAATTCATGTTGGTAGCTTCAGTGACATTGTCCAACCATCTTGTCCTCTGTCGCCCCCTTCTCCTCTTGCCTTCACACTTTCCCAATATCAGGGTCTTTTCCAGGGAGTCTTCTCTTCTCATGAGATGACCAAAGTATTGGAGCCTCAGCTTTAGGATTTGTCCTTCCAGTGAGCACTCAGGGTTGATTTCCTTCAGAACTGATAGGTTTGTTCTCCTTGCAGTCCAGGGGACTCTCAAGAGTCTCCTCCAGCACAATTCAAAAGCATCAATTCTTTGGCGGTCAGCCTTCTTTATGGTCCAGCTCTCACTTCCATACATCGCTATTGGAAAAACCAGGATGCAGTACTTACGCACAAATAAGTTACAGTGGTGCCCCGCATAGCGATGATAATCTGTGCAGCAAAAATCACTGCAAAGCGATTTCGTTGCTATGCAGTTTTAAAAAGCCCATAGGAATGCATTGGAACCCCTTCAATGCGTTCCTATGGGCTTAAAACTCACCTTTAAGCAAGAATCCTCCATACGGCCGCCATTTTCGCTGCCCGGTAAGCAAGGAATCCAGGCGAAAACACAGCGGGTGGCCATTTTTTTTTTAAACCCGGTGGCCATTTTGGAACCGCCGATCAGCTGTTGGAAAATCATCGCTATGCGATAATCAGTAAGTGATCACAAAATCTTCATCGCTATGTGGATTCATTGTTAAACGGGGCGCCCGTTAAGCGAGGCACCACTGTACTCAGAACTCAGCATGACTGATTTCTAATGGACATAATTGTTTGTTATGTATTTGTGCATAAGAACTACAGCTTAAGTTAAGTATCACAGCTAAGGTATCAGACCAGAAGCAGGTTCACATGCTGAACAGCTTTTACTATGATTTTAAACTAGTTAATCTTATTTCAAGTAACCCCACCTTGTATAAACATTAGCCATTTGCTTTGAATTTGTAAACCTACAACCTCACTTCTGTATTTACAGAAACGTTCACACACAAAAACACTGAGATGGACTGCAAACAATTTCAGTCCCTAGTTCAAATAATTTATGATTGAGAGCCTGCCATCCCTAAGTTGGTTTCCCTGACATCTCTAAGTTGGTGTTTCCATCCAGCTGTTTAGGAACAGCTGCTTGATTTGTCACATTTAGGAATGAGGTCATACTGTTTAAAAATAATCTCTGCAGTTTTTTAGCTGGAAATATCAATGTATAAAATATTCATCAGTTTGTATTTTTACTTTTCTCTCTCTGTAGGATAGCGCCTCTGGAAAATTGTGTGTCTTCTAAAGAAACTGGCAGAAGCAAGGCAAACCTATGGTTGTTATTTTTATCCAAATGCAGAGTACTATATTTTAGATCTTGTACAATACCCTGTAAAATAAATGTTGACACAGTGCATCAATCTCTTGTCACTGTTTTGATTTTCTGCTGAAATCTCTTCAACCCCAGCTGGAACGTGTTCTGGACCAAACGTGCTCAAATTCTCCAAATTCATAAAAACCCATACACCTAGCAATGAGGTGCAGTCTGAAATGGACAGGAGACACACGGCCCAATCCGCCATGCCTTGCATCAGAACCTGGTTATTTGGACTGCCCTGTTTCCTTCCTATTGTCTTCTTTGATATGAATCAAGGCCAGACTGGATGTCACAACAGGAAAGAGGGTATTAAATCTTTTTTCCCCCAAAAAAACTGAGGGAGAAGAAAATCCCAAGCAGTTTACTATTTTCTAATTCATCATTTTCTTGATGAAATTACCCCAAAAGCTATTTGTTCAGTCTTTAAGTAGAGGTAGAATTAAACATGAAATTGCTGAACAATGTTCCAAACAGCATCTGGATTTTCTCCCTCAACTACCAAATGTCTCGGCTGTTTCTGTCCAGTCTATTTTTGGTGGTGGTTAGTTGGTTTAAATACAGTTGCTTGAAAAGCACACTAAAATAAGCCTGGTACCCCTTCAGGAAAATAAAGGTTGCTATTTCTAGCATCAGCAGAACATTTGTAATATTCATGGTAAGCAAACATATTTTGATCTTGAACTTTGTTACTGGAGGTTTGTTACTGAAGGTTCCATTCATGTAGCAATACTCAGTGCTTACCCTTGTTCCGTCAACATGAGTGTTTAATTTAATTAGGGAGTAAAACTTTTATTTTCAGTTTTCTTGGTTTGTTTCCACCAAATATTGTTGTGCAAAATACACAGTACAAGAAACAGAGTTTATAAATACAGGAGAAACATAGCATGTAACATAGAAAAAATGTTTAGTCATTTAGTCGTGTTCATGACCCCATGGACCAGAGCGCGCCAGGCACTCCTATCTTTCACTGCCTCCCGGAGTTGTGTCAAATTCATGTTGGTTGCTTCAATGACACTGTCCAGCCATCTCATCCTCTGTCGTCCCCTTCTCCTCCTAGGTTCACATAATAACTACTGCTGTTACAGTAGTTATGCGTTATATTACTGGAGACATACTAAAACATATTAAGCCAGAGAGCTTGAGCCCATTATTATTTGTCCTGCACTCTGGGATGATCAAGAACAGGTTCTGCCCCTCCTCTATATAACTATCTTACAACTATTTGAAAAATGGTATCCTATCTCCCCACAAACTATCTTACAACTACTGTACAGTATTTGAAAAATGGTATCCTATCTCCCCACAGCCTTCTTTTCTTAAGGCTAAACATGCACTGTTCTTTCAATCTTCTCATAGGGCTTGGTTTCCTGTTCTCTCTGAACCTATTCCAGTTTGTTGGCATTCTTCTTAAAGTGCAGTACCCAATATGTTGCCTTACCAGTGACAAACAGAGAGAAACTAGTACTTCCTGGGATTTGGAGACCATACAGTAGTTCTGTTAATGCAGCCTAGAATAGAATTTGACTTTTTTGCTGCCACAGTTCCAAGATTCTTCCAACTCATAATATTGTTGAACCAAGTACTAACTGCATTGTTTTCAAGGTGCTTGCAGAGTGACTGGTTTATAATCTCCAGAATTCTCCCCAGGATTGATGTCCCCAGGTCTATAATTTTCAAATTCCTCTTTTTTGCCCTTTTTCAAGGCAACATTAGTCCTCCTCCCATCATCTGGCACTCAAGTTCCTCTTTTTTGCCCTTTTTCAAGATAACATTAGTCCTCCTCCCATCATCTGGCACTTCACCTATCCTCCATAATTTCAAGAAAATAATAGACAGTGGTTCTGAGAGTTCAGCCACTTCCTTCAATATCCTTAGACGTAGTTCATCTGGCCCTAGAACATGTTCAAAGTAACAGGATATTCCTTGATTATTTGTTTATCAATCTCAAACTGCAATCCAATTCCCTCCACTTGTATAGCAGGACCCCTATATCCATGGGGGATTGCTTCTGTGATCTACCGTGGATGTCTGAAACTGCAGAATCTATAAGGGAATCTTATATAAAATATATCAGAGGCAGAATGGACACAAAGGGATGCCTCCATCTGTTGTACGTAGGGCTATGACAAACCACAGATAAGTCAAACCTCGGATACCTATCCACAGATATGGGAGTCCTACTGTACTTTCAAGGACACAAAGGGATACCTCCATCTGTTGTACGAAGGGCTATGACAAACCATATCTCCCACAGATATGGGAGTCCTACTGTACTTTCCATTTGCCTGGAGGGTCATAGACTGTCTATTGGGAAAAGACCAAGCTAAAGTAGGAATTGAGCCCTTCTGCCTTTTCTTTGCTATCTGTTATGATTACTCCATCCCCATTGAGTAGTTGAGCTGCTATTTCTTTTCTCTCATCTGTTATTATTACTCCATCCCCATTGAGTAGCTGAGCTGCTATTTCTTTTCTCTGTTTTTTGCTATGCACATTCTTGAATAATGTTTGTTGTTGGTTTTCACATCTCTTGCTAACCTCAGCTCATTCTCAGCTTTTGCCTTCCTAATGACATCCCTGCAATTCTTTGCTATCTGTCACCTTTGTGGCCCGGTCGTCCTTCTACTTCTAATACAGTATATGCCTTTTCTTTTCAGGTCCATTTTGAGCTTTATGTGAAGCCACACTTTTTTTGCTGTCTTCTACCTTTTTTCCCCTGCCTTCCACCTTTTTTTCCTGAGGCTTCATATAAAAGAGTGAGAGAGAGCCATATAGAGAGGGAAATAGGGAGTGAAAGAGGGAAAGAAATTTAGCAGCATTTATAGAGAGGAAACTTTTTAAAAAGAAGGATTATGAAAGGTGGTTATACAGCTATTTAAAACTACGTAAATGGGATCTTTATATACAGCTTCACTGTACACTTCTAAATACCAGCCACATGGGACAAACAAGGCTTCATGTCCTGCTTGTTCTTAGGAGCAGTTGCCTGGTGTGGAAACAGGTTCCTGGGCTAAATGGAATGTAAGTGTTGTGATCTAATCAAGCAGTCCTTAAATTCTTTTAGGAATGCACTTTAAAACAGTGTAAGAATGCCTGTCAATCCAGACATGGAGGTAACTCCTGGCTTTTCTGAGTAGCCCTAGGGCTAAGATGAGTCTTGAATTTTGAGTCTGCCATTAGATTGTACTACCACACAGCCAAGGAGTTTTATTACAGTGGACCCTCGACTTACAGATGGCTCGACTTACAGACTTTTCGAGTTACAGACTTCTCTGGCTGCAAAATTTAGATTCGACCTGCAGCCGGAGAATCGACCTACAGACCAGAAAAAAACTAAAATGGAACAAAAATAGAATAAAAACTGCCAGTTGTGGGATTAATCAGTTTTCAATGCATTGTAGGTCAATGGAGATTCGACCTACAGACTTGTGAGTCTGCCATTAGATTGTTTTTACTACCACACAGCCAAGGAGTTTTATTAATTTCAACTGTGCTGGGATCCTTTGGATTCCTCTACCCATCCCTGCCCCTGGTTTTTAAAATCTTGTACTATTTGCCAGTTTACTAAGTCACAGAATCATAGAATAATGCAGTTGGAAAGGGCATCAAGTCCAAACCCCTGCTCAATGCAGGAATCCAAACCAAAGTACGTATATCTACAAATGGTTCTCTAATTTTCTCTTGAATGCCTCTGGTGTCAGAGTGCTCACTACCTCCCAAGGCAATCGGTTCCATTGTTGCACTGCTCTAATAGCAAGGAGATTTTTCCTGACATTCCACCAATATCTGGCTTCCTATAACTTCAGCCCAGCTTTCCTGACCTGATGCCTACATTTGCATCTCCTCAGGTCATGAGGCACAGCCACTTGGTTGGTGCACAGGAACAAGAAATAAACAAAGAATAGAGTTCTGGGGATAAATTTCTCTTGATCTCAAACTCTTTGAAGTGAGGAACTGCAGGAACACAGGAGATGGTAGTGTGAAACAAGCTGGTTCCAGGGTATAAAAGTTCACATTTTCGGACTCTGCCAGTCTACATATAAAGTCCAGAGATATTTCAATTTTTAAATGCGTTCTAAGTCCTTTAATGTCTGCACACCTTGTCAACTTTAATAGCAGTCCCATTAATTTTTATTATTGTAGTGCATTGCCATAGTCTAACCAGGTAGTTACCAGGGCATGGACTACTGTGGTCAGGTTATCCCTGTCCAAGAATGGTCGTAGCTGGTGGACATGTAAGTAGACCCCAGACACTCCAAGTTTCTGAGTTCATATGAGCCTGTAGTGACAAAGATGAATCTAGAACCACCACCCCATTAAACTCCTGCTCCTTCAGGTAGAGTGTGACTCCATCCAGAACAGATCTCCTGACCAACTCCCAGACCTGACAACTACAAACCAAAAAGCCTCCATCTTGTTGGGATTCAGTTGCCGTTTACTGGCCCTCATCCAGCCCCTTACAACAACCAGACATTAGTCCAGCACCTGCACAGCCTCAGCTGACTCTGATGATGAGAGGCAGACCTGAGTGTCATCAGCAGCTTCCTACAGATATTAAACATCACGGGAGATCTAACGGAATTCTCTAGCATCCTACAGCTTAACCGCCCCATGGGGCTGAGCAGAAGTCCTCTAATGCCACTCTTTGGAACCAGTTGCAAAAATAGGAACAGAATCACTGTACCTCTCATCCCCATTTCATGAAGTCTGTCCAAGTGGATATCAGAATCAATGGTAAGCTGCTGAGCATAGTGGTATTATATCTTCATTTTTTGAAAAAAGAATGACTAAAAAATAATTAGTTTGTAACGAGTAACTTCCAAATGACATAATTAGTCATTCATCCTGGGTCCTGTGATGATAAAGGTAGAAGGCATACTTAGGTGTAAGTACACAACGTATTTTATTCACTTATTATGTGGATCATTCCCCTTTTAAAAAAAACACCAAAGCACATAAGTAGTTCTCTCCAATCTGGCTTTTTATCCTCACAAGAAACATAAGGCTTAGAGGGAGGGAGTGCTTGTAAGTAAGCAGGATTTTAACTTAGATCTCTCTTATCCCAGCCTGACATTCTAATACTGTAATGACTAAGCCACACTGGTACAGAAGGGTTAATATGGGATACGAAAAATCAAATGTGCAAGAGTGATTTCCAGATCTATAGTTCTAAGAAGATGATGAAGGCTGTTGTGGGTTTTTCAGGCTCTTTGGCCGTGTTCTGAAGGTTGTTCTTCCTACCGTTTCGCCAGTCTCCGTGGCCGGCATCTTCAGAGGACTGGAGTAGCACTCTGTGCTCTGGGGCAGTTTGTTTGGGAGCTGAGTCAACAAACAGCAACAGAGCATGGCCAGAGTTCCTACTCCTGTCCTCTGAAGATGCCGGCCACAGAGACTGGCAAAACGTTAGGAAGAACAACCTTCAGAACACGGCTAAAGAGCCCGAAAACTCCACAACAACCATTAGATGCCCGCTGTGAAAGCCTTAGCGAATACATGATGATGATGATGTTTCAGAGACAGAGTGCATCCTGTCCATTACATTACAGGATATCTGGAAGCAACTAGCATCCTCTGTCTTAGAGAAAGGTCTTGAGTGAACTTCAGACATAGTTTAGAAAACATATACAGTATTTCAAGCAATTCTAAAATCCCATATACTTACTAGAGGCAAAATAACTCAGATTATGGGTACCTGTAGTACAGTATTATATTATGCTGTCTGCAAAACAGTTAAGGTATACCGCCTCTGGAGATGCACGGAGTATATTCAGAAATTAAACCGTGGTCCCCACTCACCTTCATTCAAGTGCCTGCCTGCGCCATACCTAGCTTTGGCACTTCCCTGAGTAACAGAGCCATAAAAGCCGGGCCACTCCGGCTATGAATCACCGCTTTTCAAAAGGGCGCGCGCCACAGCTGGAGAGGCACGGCGCCCTCCGTCCTTCTCCCCATCAAACACCCGCGCGGCAGGCAGAAATCCAACCGATGAAGCTCTCACCGTATACGCTGGTACCAGAGGGAGAGCAGGCGCAGCCGGCGGAGTTCCGCCCGTCCCGCGGCTGTCAAGAAAAGGCGGAGGCTCTCCTAGGAAAGCGGAGGCGGAATTGGCGAGCTGAGCCAGGCTGAGGCGGAGAAGGGAGGGCCCGCGGGGCGAGGCGAGGCTAGGCGGGCCGGAGGAAGGGCCCCTGAGGCGCCATGGCTGAGCCGGGGCGCGCCTCCGGGCCAGG